TACAGTTGTGAGCCTTTAGCTGGGCTTTAGATTTGTACGACTTTCCACAGTGCCAACAAGAAAATGGTTGTTCCTGAGAATGCGATTTCAAGTGCAATAATAGATGGCTTTTATTGGAATAAACTTTACAGCACACATTGCACACTAGGCAATCAATATCTGCACGGTGGAACAGTCGATCATGAGAATTATAACTAGGATAGGATTTAAAGGCCCGTCCACATTCATAGCAGAAATATTTGTATGTGTCACTATGAGCTTCAATCAGATGCACTTTGAGTCCCTCAGCAGAGTCTAAGACCGATTTACAGACCCGACAGCACCAGACTTCATTACCAATGTTGTGAGAACGTTCATGTGATATCAAATCTTCTGCTTGTGTGTATACAAGATGACAACTGTGACACGGGAATGACCTGTAGGATGTCTCTTTTAATGATTGGCGGCCATCTTCCCAATCTTTTGTTTGGTTGTGATAACCTAAACAAAACAAAACAATCTGTGTGAGATATTGCCACATTTTGCTGACTATTCCATCAACGCTTTCACTTTATGTGCAGAAAGAAGCACAAGCAATCTATCCCCTTGATTTTGAAGGGACTACACAAAATCATGGGTCATAAAAGAGTTTTTGAAAAACAAAATGAAGCATCACAAAAATATATGGTTTTACAGTATGTTGTTGTGCAGTACATAATGAAACTTGTAAGATTCTGTTAAGCAAATATAACGATATCCAATTTTAAGACAGGACTTCCCTCAAAGGTATATTTTTACAGTTGTGCCTGGTCAAATGCCAATTATATTTGTAAGATTTTCCACAGTGTTCACACGTGAACGGCTGTTCTTGTGAGTGTGTCTATAAATGAGTTTTCAGATGACTTTCATTTGAATAAATTTTGCAGCAAATGTTACACACGGGGCACTCAGTATCAGCACGTTGGAACAATCGACTGTGAGAATTATAACTAGAGTAGGACTTGAAAGCCCTTCCACATTCAAAACAGAAATGGCTATATTCTTGACCATGAACTTGAATAAGATGAGTATTGAGTTTTTCTGATGTTCCAAGGTCAGAGAAACAAATGCTACAGAACCAGTCATTGTGCCAATATTGTGAGAACGCTGGTGTGATCTGAAGTCATTTGTTTTAGTGTACACCAGGTGGCAGTGTTTACAAGGGAAGGAGCTATTGCTTGGCAGCTCAAATAAGTGGAAGTTGTCTCCCAAATTTGTATTTTTGTGGAGATTACCTAAATAAAACAAATAAATAGCTGTCAGTATTTATCCAGAAATAAAAATACAAGGATTTTACTGGTGTCAGTATTTAATCCGGTTAGCATTGGCAATTTTACAAATCCACAAGTATGTGGAAATTCTGGTACATCTTGATATTGGCAGTGCTAAGCAACAGATTTCTATCAAATATTAATGTGTGGTTCACCTTACAGAAGATCCAAAGTCAACTTCCTGTACAATGCACAAACACATAATGCTTCAGCAGTCTTCAAGTTTTGTTCAGGCATCTAAAGGGCAGACAGTGATATATAAAGCTAAATATAAGTGTTGGATTCTTGATTCCTATTTGGAGTACATCTGTAAAACTTAACTCATATATGCGAACAATTGTGTTGTTTTAAATTGCGTTTATATTTGTAAGTCCTCCCACAGATTTCACAAAAATATGGCTGTTCGTCTGAATGCTTCATGAGATGCACTTGAAGCTGACTGTCAAAAGAGAAAATCTTTCGACATATTGAACAGACAGGACACTTTGCCTCAGGACGATGAAACAAGCGATTGTGGGCATTTAGACCCCAATCTCCTGAGAAAGCTCGTCCACAGTCAAAACAGAAATGTTTGAACTGATGATTGTGATTTTGGAGCATATGTCCTTTCAGATGTGCAACACTTGGGACGTCGATGAGACAAACTTGACACCGCCACGTGTCGTAAGTTACATGGCTGCGATTGTGCGATACCAAGTCTTCTGCTTTTGAGTAAATTATGTTGCAGATATTACAAGGAAATCCTTCATCGTCCAGACCCCTCTTTTTGTTGTGTTCACCTAAACGAAACAAATAAATTTGGATCAATGCTTGTCCACACAAAAGGCTTTTTAACTGCAGAACGAATATCTCTTTCCTATGCATCTATTTAGAATTTCATTCCAATGCTCAATGGAAGCAAGCACATCCACAAGACCAATATTTCCAACACAACAGACAACTCATAAAGCAATTCTTTTTATTATAATCAATAACTACATATATTTTTCATTAGGTACATAAAATATAAGTATAATCCATCACTTATTGTCAATTACTGAAATGTCTCATTGTGTCACTCAATTAAAAAAATATCTCCACAGTTATCAATCCTATAGATATATATCACACTTTGCAAGTTCCACTAGCTATTTCAAGTTGAGAATGAAATATCCAGGAGTTTCCAAATTTCGATTGTAAATATTTTATACAGAGTTACGATGGTCCTTGGTTATGTATACAGTTATGCACTTTTAGATTCCATTCATATTTGTACGTTTTCCCGCAGACTTTACAGAAGTATGGTTGATCATCAGAATGCTTCTTTAAATGGACTTGAAGTTTACTGTCAAAGGGAAAGACTCTTCTGCAAATAGGACATACTGGACAATTGATGTCTGCCCGGTGAAACAGACGGTTGTGAGTATTGAAACTGGAGTATGACCTGAAGCCTCGTCCACACTCAAAACACAGATTCTTGAACTCGGGTCCATGCACCTGTATGAGGTGACCTTTAAGCTGTACTGCAGTACGACAGTCTAACAGACAGACACGACAGTGCCAGTCTTCAGTCCCAATGTGGTGACATCGATCATGTGTAGTTAGATCGTCGAATGAGGAGAAGACTAGGTTGCATGTACGACATGGAAATAAACTGGACCCTATCTGTTCAGGGTTCAAATGGTCATCATCTCCCATCCCACTTTCCTCACGGTTGTGTTTACCTAAACAAAACAAATAGAGCATGAGTACTCCCCAGGATAACATACTGCCTGCCTGTAGCAGTCTTGTTTATTTCAATTGTCAAGGTAAACATGAGTCCAGTTACTAGCATAATTGTCAAACTGAAAACTGCTAAGTATAACCACTTATGCTTTAGTTGTAGGTGTTGGAAAGCGATAACTACAGCAATTTAAGTAATATGTTGTACCATCAAGTACTTTCAAATGTATTTGAGTGTGTTTTATACAAGATTTGACATGTACAAAATGGCATTTTTTTTTTAATTCTATTGTAAATTTAATTTTTACATTTCCTATCACTTATATTACGGGTAAAGTGAAAGGCCTTAGAACACCTACTCGCTACAATTGTGGCTGACCCGACATCAGGCAGTTATGCATCTTCAACTTCCCCTTGTGTTTGTACGACTTTCCACAATGCTGACATGCATATTCCCTCACTTCAGAATGCCTTTTGTAATGATATCGGAGATTACTTTCAAATGGAAATATTTTCCAACAAATGTCACACACAGGACATTTCAAATCGGCTCTATGGAACAGACGTTGGTGATTGTTGAAACTTGAGTAAGATGTAAAACCTCTACCACAATCAAAACACAAATACTTGAACTGTTCTGCATGTGACAAAGTCATGTGTGTTTTCAGGTGATTGGCACTGGAAAGAGTAATATGACAAATTTCACAGCTATGTACTAATGGATCATCACTGTGACTCCTGCGGTGAGTCCTAAGATCCTCAGCTGATGAATAAACAAGTCGACAAATTTCACATGGAAATGAGAAGTTCGACATCCGATCCGACATATCCACAGAGCACTCGAAAGTTTCATCACCAAATGAGGATTTACCTAAACAAAAAAGAGATAGTCCTTCAGAAACAACATTTACTGGCACATTCTTTCCAGGTAGTTATAATTTTCGATAAAATATGCCAAAAATATAAAAAGATGATCTTCCTCATCCGATGAAAAGTGAGAGAAAATATGACGGAGCCAACCACGTAAACTCATTCTTTACAGAAGGGAAGGATGTCGCAGCACTCCCCGGTCAGTGAAGTGTGTTTGTTGCATCTTCATAATGGCTAGCAGTGCTGGACAATATATAGATACATTGTCTCTAACATAAAACTAATTAACATATTTTCAAAAGAAAATTTTTATTCATATTCTGTAATGTACATTTATAAACATAAATCTTTGAACACAAAACTGGAACAATTTCTTTTTTTACTGTATGGGAAAAAGATCCATAGATTACAATTTACAGCTATTGATCTACATCACAAACAGAATCAAAGGAAAAGAACATTTAAATCACAGAGTATATCTTCAGGTGAAAAACATTTCCATGGCAAATGTTCATGTCTTATGACAGAATCATACAAATCAGATTCACCATGACATCACCCATGAGTAATCTACATCTTGTAAGTGAACTTTGACCTTGCATAAAATGACTGTTATAAGGGCTATGTGCAAGAGTGGCTAGCTAGATTTGCCTTGTGTTTGTAGGACTTTCCACAGACACCACAGATAAATGGTCGCAATTCTGAATGCTTCTTTAAATGTAGCTTCAAACTGCTCTCAAAGGGGAAAATTTTTCCACAAAGTTCGCACACTGGACATTTGGTATCTGAACGATGAAACAATCGCTCATGACTGTTGAAACTTGGATAGGATTTAAATGCTCGACCACAGTCAAAACAAAAATGTTTGAACTTTGACCCATGCTGAGAGTACAAGTGACTTTTGAGGTCTTCCAGAGTACCAAAATCAACATCACACAAAGCACAGATATGAAGGTGAGGGCCCTCACTGTGAGAACGATCATGTGTCTTCAGGTCCTCACTTGTCGGGTATACGATGTTGCATACCGGACACCGATGCTTGGCAGCCAGCCTGTCGGCGTATTCCAACAAGGCCTCACAGTAGTTGTCCTCTGTTGGTATTCTGTGGGATAGGTCACCTGACCAAAATAAGAAATCGAGTCTTCAGACAGGTGAACACACACAAGAACATCAAACAGTAAGACAAACTACAACATAATCATATAACCAGGAGTCAAATCATTGTATTACCTTGACTTTACGGAGATGTTAAACAGGAAGTCATCTTTTGTCATTGGATTAACTACGAGATGATGCTCTAATGCACAGATCCATACCCGAAAGTCAACACAAAAATTCTTCCTTATCAACCAGACATGTGATTCTAACTCATCCTCATGTCATTTATCTATGACCTTTGGTAACATGACCTTCACAGACATGGTTTAAAATGGACCAATTAAATAATGTCAGTCAACACTGATTTCAGTGCTTGACCTTAATTGAAAACTCCAATGCCCTGCTGATAAAACAACCAGACAATACATGTATGAAATTTCATCATGAACATCTCATATAAATGTTAAAATCTTACGTGTGGTATAATTTGAGTTCTGCCTTATTTGAACTGGCTATGTTCAAAGTACATATGTGCTCTTTCAGTGTATGTTTGTATTTGAAGGATTTACCACACTGTCCACACCTAAACTCTCTCACACCTGAATGTTTTATACTATGTTGGCGAAGATTACTCTCAAATGGGAATATTTTTCTACAAATATCACACACAGGACACTTCAAATCTGTTCTGTGGAACAGACGATTGTGATTGTTGAAACTTGTATAACAATTGAATCCCCGTCCACAATCACAACACATGTGTTTGAACTGATTTTTGTGCAAATCAATCATGTGACAATGTAGTTGGTCAGAACTATGGAAGTCTAAAAAACAAACTTCACAGCTGAATTCCTCATGGCCATTTCTGTGACTTTTCTGGTGAGTCTTTAAGTCTTCTGAAGATGAGTACACAATTTTGCAAATTTCACACGGGAAAGAATTTCCACTGATTCGTCCTAAAAAGTCTGTAGAAGCATCAAACCTTTCTTGAACCAACGACCCTTGACCTAGACAAAAAGAATAGCAAAGGCCATATAAGAGAGAGACAAAACTGATACCACTTGTTATTCATAAAGGGATATTGCTACCACCACTTGTTCTCATATCAGCCATTTCTTTACACCAAGCTATTTTCGTAGAGAAAAAAAAATCTTGCATATCTCAATTTCAAGTAACTCTTCTATATAATCAATAGAAGCATGACTTCTCACCACCAAACATTGGAAACAGCGATTGCTACATTTCAGAAACAGCATCTGATCTGGTGATTATCAAGTAAATCTGTCAAGAGGTTCTCAAGATATTGAAACACAACAGGACAGATGGCCATGGTAATCCCCTCCATTAACTAGTTTGGGCGTTGACTAATTAATACAGGTATGCTCCTTCAAAGATTTCTTGTACTTGTACGATTTCCCACATTGCTTGCAACTGAATGATCGTACTTCTGAATGTTTCTTATAATGATAGTCCAGAGTATTTTGAAATGGATATATTTTCCTACAAATATCACATACTGGGCACTGCAAGTCAGGTCTGTGAAAAAGTCTCTTATGTTTGTTAAAACAAGGATATGATCTAAAACCTCTTCCGCATTCAAAACAAAAATGTTTAAATTCCTGCCCATGTATTTGCATCATATGAGATTTCTGTTGATAAGAATCGACAAATTCAATATGACAGACTTCACAGGTAAATTCCTCGGGACCGTTTCTGTGAGTCTTCTGATGCGTCTTTAAGTCTTCGGGAGAGGAGTATACAATATTGCAAATTTCACACGGAAAAGAGGAGCCAAAGCGGTCATCTACCAAGAGTTCACCTGAATGAAACAGAGAAACAGGACACCTTCAGTTACCGGGATACAGAAATAATGTCAGAAGAATGATGTATATAGTTTTCTTAAATGTAACAACCTTTTTATTGAACTATTTTTGTAAAGCACACATTAATTAAGAGAATGTAATTTACCATATCTGAAGTTGTCACATGCATGTTGTCAAAATTCAAAGTTCCCAACTATGAGAAAATCAAAGAATCCACAGAAACAAATTCAATAGCATAAACCAGCCAATTTCCTCGTTATAAATCTAATCTCAAAGTGAACCAACTGATGACCTCCCAGCAAATTCACTTACATTTCACCCACAGAGAACAGACCAACAAAATATCTACCGTTTCATTCAAACTTTCAACCAATAGCCTTACTACATAATTATTCACCTTCTCCACAGTCGACAAACAAATGACCTCTACAAAAATCCATTCAATCTTTCTCACCCATTATTTAAATCATAGGTCTCATAACTAAGTCAGAATACCTCACTAGGCCAGACCAGAAGAAATATATTTGTACGGTTTTAGCAACTGTGAATAGCAAACTATTCCACATCAATCAATTAAGTTTGTGTAATTGGTAATTTCAATTTACAAGTGATGCATTTCCACAGAGGATGCCACTCCGGAATTATACAATTCTAGACAGGTACCTTCAGTTTATTTTGGTATAAACAGCAATGGCTCTGTACACAGGTGTTCTTTCAATGTCTTTTTGTGTTTGTACGATTTTCCACATTGATTACAATTAAAAGATCGCACCTCAGAATGTTTCTTGTAATGGTTGTCCAGAGTGTTTTGAAATGGATATATTTTCCTACAAATGTCACAAATTGGACACTGCAAGTCCGGTCTGTGAAACAGTCGTTTGTGATTATTGAAACTTGGGTAGGATCTAAAACCTCTTCCGCATTCAAAACAAAAATGTTTAAATTCCTGCCCATGCATTTGCATCATATGAGATTTCTGTTGATAAGAATCAACAAACTCAGTATGACAGACTTCACAGGTAAATTCCTCGGGACCATTTCTGTGAGTCTTCTGATGCGTCTTTAAATCTTCCGCAGATGAGAAAACAATTTTGCAACTGTCACACGGAAAAGAGGAGCCAAATCGGTCATCTACCAAGAGTTCACCTAAATGAAACAGAGAAACAGGACACCTTCAGTTTCTGGACAAAATGGCAGTATCAAAGCATTCTCAGTAATTAACTGTTAATATTCAGCAAGACAACCTTGTTAGGTATGAAATTAAAGTGGATCACTGTCACAGGCATCACAGAATTTTACATAATGACCTCTACTTAACAATCAAGGTCAACATACTAAACTCACAGTCATTTGATATTTCAAAACATCTCTGAAAACTGTCAATGATGTCCAGACATTGATGAAGATATAGTTGAGACTGTTCAGGTATATTTACTTAGGTTGAACTTTACAGCTACTACTCAATCCAGTACACACATGTTCTTTTAATGTCTTTTTGTGCTTGTACCATTTCCCACATTGATTACATTTAAATGAGCGAACCTCTGAATGCTTCTTATAATGGTTATCAAGAAAATATTGAAATGGAAATATTTTCCTACAAATGTCACAAACTGGACACTGCAAATCTGGCCTGTGAAACAGACGGTTATGATTATTGAAACTTGGGTAAGATCCAAAACCTCTTCCGCATTCAAAACAGAAATGTGAGAATTCCTGGCGATGTATTTTCATCATATGAGATTTTTGTTGATAGCAATTCGCAAATTCAGAGTGACAGACTTCACATGTAATTTCTTCATGACCGTTTCTGTGAGACTTTTGATGGGTCTTTAAGTCTTCAGGAGAGGAGTATACAATATTGCAAATTTCACACGGAAAAGATGAACCAAAGCGGTCATCTACCAAGAGTTCACCTAAAAGAAACAGAGAAATAACACTTTCAGTAACTTGGAAAAGAATTGGGCTACAAACAGTTGGAGTTTTCAACGTACAAGTATTACAAAATTACATTCAAAGCCTTACTCCCTTTGTTTCTTAAAATTTGTTTGTTTTACATCCACTTTAACAGTCTTTTGGTCTTTCAGCAACAGAAAAGAAACCAACAAATACTACTGACAGAAGTCCAGGTAAAGCTGTACCATGATGGTTCCCAAGATCAGAAAAAATGATTAGAGACAATTGGTTTGGACAGTTTCCTTTCCTTTTACATTTAGGCCTGTGTATCTGTCTATCCAGAGACATGCCATTGCCAATACAAATTCCAAGTAAAACTTCCAATCTAAGGAGAATATGAAGGTTAGGACATTCAACTGACCCCTCACATTTGGTCATTGAAGAGGTCAAATCGCCAAAACTGAAGGTCAAATCATACATGTGAAATAAACATGTCCCTTCAAACTCCCGACAGCTGAAACTCATTTCAGGTGTTAAAATCATTTTCTGAAAGGTGTACTAAATGCATGGAGGTTCTTACTGTTTTAGGATTTTTATTCTCTTTCTCATTAGATACATATGTGTTCCTTTAAGGACTGTTTATACTTGTAGGATTTGCCACAAACTTGACAGGAGAACTCTCGAACTTCCAAGTGTCGTTTGTAATGAAATTGTAGGTTACTTTCATAGGGAAAGATCTTCCCACAAATATCACATATAGGACACTGGACATCAGGTCTATGAAACAAACGCTTGTGATTATTAAACGATGGATAGGACTTAAATGCTCTCCCACAATTAAAGCACAAGTGTTTGTATTTGTTTCCATGCGTATAAATCATGTGATTTTTCAGCTGTTCTGAATCTCTGAATTCTGTGTAACAGACTTCACAGCTAAATTCTTCAGGGCCTATTCTGTGAGATTTCTGGTGCGTCTTTAAATCTTCCGCAGCTGAATACACTAGTTTGCACTTTTCACAGGGAAATGAGGTGCCAACAATTCTTTCAGCATCAAAAGAGGTTCTACCTGAATGAAAATAAAATACAGCAGACCTTCATAAACTGGACAATTACAAAGAATCAACAGGACCGTTATCACGATCATCTCTAGCAGTATTTAGCAACACAATGACCTCTAGTTTACTGCCATCACAATATCAGATTCCATATGGTTGTATTGTTAGGACCCTCCCAGTACTTTTATCATGGTGTTTATAGGCACTTCTATTACTAAGTATATACTAAGTGAAGCTAGTGGTAATAGCATACAATCATCTTTTAGAGGATCCTATTTCCTACATACACAGATATCAATCTACAGGATAATCACTGGGCATTGCAGCTTAAAAATTCACACAAATCTCAATAACTTCCATAAAAATTGGAAAAATTTCCACAACTTAACATCCTGATACTCGTTACAGTCTTCATTATTGACAAATTTCACCAATAGCTGTTTTAGTTCATAGGAGTATGAACCCAGTTAGTTACAGTAATGGTCTTTAAATGTCTGTTTGTATTTGTAAGATTTCCCACACTTCTGGCACGTAAACGGCCTATCAAATGAGTGTTTCTTCAGGTGAACTAGGAGGTTACTTTTGGTCGGGAATATTTTGCCACAGATGTGACATGAGGGACAGTCCTGAGCTCCACCGTGATACAACTTGTGGTGATTATTGTAACCCACAGATGACTTAAAACCTTTCCCACACTCCAAGCAGAAATGAATGTATGTACAGCCATGGTTCTTCAACAGGTGATCTTTCAAAAGTAGGGTGCTCGGGAAACGTTTCGCGCATGGTGGGACATGACAGAGGAATCCAGAGAGGGAATGAATCTTTTTGTGATCATTTAGTTTTTCTTCGGTTTCAAAACCAATGTTACAAATTCCACATTTATATACTCCGGAAGGACTGGTGTTGACACCTGGTGGCAGATGATACTGGTCTCCCACACTGGAGCCTAGGCATGGAAGAAAGAATAAAGCTGCTCTAGTTTAAGGTCAACATAATAGTATCAACAAATTGCAACTCTAGTCAAACAAGCCTACCAAATTGGGTAATACGATGGGCAGTCAAATGCTGTCAATCATCACTCGAGATTTAACGAAACTTTTTGTCTTGTAACAAACAAAGCAGGAAACTACAATGATATCTAACAGGTGAAGTTTAATAACACATTGAGTGGATTATGACTTTATAATTGTGAAAAGTCTAATTAAATTGATTTTCACTTTTTCATTTATGACAATTCACACAAATCAGACATACTGAACATGTCCAGGGCTTTTATCCCTTTCTTTTTTTTAAAAGTAAAAATATCCATTTCAGTCACAACACAGTCATTAAATGTCCATAAACAAGTCCATTATAAATTGCTCTGACCAAAGCTGTTTGCAACATCACATTGTACTCTCGATATCATCATCACATGGACAGGTAGAAAGATTTTTCCAACTAGTCTTGAATCATTTTGTCTCATTGCTCTCCTTGATTCTCATAGCTACTGCGTGAGCATCACTTTTCATATGGAATATCACAGAAGTTTTATGAACATTCTTCGTTCCATGAACATAGGGACTTGCTTTCTGAAAAGAATATTCCTTACAAACTTTACAAGATAACTCCACAACAACATCCCCTTTAACCTCAAAATCTAGCCAGTCAGCATCAAGTTCTTGTTTCCATTTTGCAACTGTTCTGGCATAGGGTGAAGTTGATGGTCCAACTGTGGCTGGCTTTTTGAAATTGTACATAAATGACATAGGATCAGAATAGGATGATGACAAAGCATTGCTATTTCTCTCCTGCAACTGAGGAGATTTCATCATCGCAAAAGGATGAAGGGATGCATAGGGATCCGGTAAACTTCCAGGCCCTAAAATACACAAGCGATGATGTTTGTAAGTGTGGAGAACTCTATCCATATCAATATCTTCAGATACCTATTCATGTTAAATAGCAATAAATCTAGAATGTAGGTAACATTGCATACAAGACACCAAAGCACTTTCATCAGGCAATATAAATTTCCCAAGGTCATGGAACCTACACATGGTCAAGGAACTTACAGGATCCACACAAGTCCATGCTGCACAAAGTCACAATTTACAAAAAGTTATGGAATGTACAAGTCAAGAAGCCGTTCAGAAATCAAAGAAGTTACTCAATTTTAGAAAACCAATACAAGGTCCTCAATTTCATGAAATGATTTTTTTTTTTTTATAAAATCCAGCATGAATGGCAAATGATATTAATAAGCTTCAAGTAATTATCACATCTTCCTAGAATCTTTTACTTAAGTATGCATAATCACATTTATATCACAAACACCGAATACTTTCACGGTTGTCAAACATATTTTAAGATTTTTTGTGATCCCTTAAAAAAATATAAAAGTGACAAGACAAGATTACAACAAAAACTTTTAATCAGTAAATTCCACATACTAGTGTGAAGGGATCCAATAATATCAAGCAATTAATATTGCAAATTTTATTGATCAGAATTGCCGAGAACAAACCCTCTCTGAAAACAATGAAACTATTTGCTCTTTCCTTACAATGTTTATGATGTTTCATGTCCTTTTTCAAATCTGTGACATCAACAATCTCTTCCCCTTACAAAATGATGCTTCAATTGTCTTTCTCTGCTCCAATATCCTGCATGATTCTCAAAGCCACAGCATGGGCATCACTTTTCATATGGAATATCACGGATGCTTTATGAACATTTTTTGTCCCGTGCACATAGGGACTTGTTTTCTGTACAGAAAATTCCTTACAAACTTTACATGATAATTCCACTACTGTGTCACCTTTAACCTCAAAATCTAGCCAATCAGCATTCAGATCTTGTTTCCATTTGACAACTGTTCTAACATAGGGTGAATTCGTTGATCCAACTGTGCTTGTTGTCGGCTTTTTGAAATTATACTTAATAGATGTATGATCAAAATACGCAGTGGAGGGATGATTATCTTGAACCTGGTGAGAATTCACCGTTGTGAAAGGGTGAATAGATGCAAAGGAATCCGGTAAACTTCCTGGCCCTAAAATACACAAGTGAGGATGTTTGTAAGTGGAAATACTTTGTCTTTCAACTAAATAGCATTCAGCAACAACAGTGGACAAGTCCTCAGGAATAAGATGAAGAGTACCTAGTACTCATTTCTAACATAGAATCTATACTGTTACATATGGTCACAATCAC